GAAGTTCCAATAGGTTACATGAAAGACGTGAATTTCCTTTTTTTTGTAATTGGATTGCCGATAAAGCAAAATTTAAATTGCTACTACAATCGACTATACTACTTATATTCGTAATGGGTAGGCTAGGAGACTGCAGATCTTGAATAAAAATTATATTCGTCTATCTACTCAGTACGAATGTAGGCAAGTAATATAAATCGAGTCACCGATAACCGCACTACACAAAAATGGGATACAGCATACGTCTGGTTTACCTTGAATACCTGCTGTGAAGCAAAGCTAAGCCTCCATCACACAAATTGTATGTACAATAGGCCTGGCTTGTCTGCAAATTCACACTCGTTCTGTGACCTATTGGCATCTGTGACAGTGTGACAGTGTGACAGTGTGACAATGTGGCAGTGTGGAATGGTGGCACCATGTGGGAATTATAACCAGCACCACGACAACCAGGATTCCAGTTGCGTTGGGGGCGACGATGCGGCCCAGACAAAGTCGAGACTGCATAACATTCAGGATGAGCACACCTTTTTGAGAATTTTTAATGGGATTGTGGCAAAATGCAATTATCCATCTCTCCTCTTCTTATGCGGCCTAGGGCAGGTACAGCGGTCTCGAGACAATAGTTAAATGCGAAAAGTGAAGCAATACTTTCGCCAGAACGAAGGCTAAAGAAGGCCAGATAGGGTTGGCGGGTGTGGGGCATGGTTACTAGCACAGCTATTGGACACACTCCAACAATTCTCGGCGCAACCACCGAAAAGAGATACATCCGACAAGCAAGCGTAACCATCCAATTGCGAAATAGTTGCATATGCATAACACTTTAATCGTTTCCAGCGGGTTAGTCGGCTTATCGGACGACTACGAATCAACAGGCTTAGATGGGCCGTTGCTTCAACTAAAGCAAAGATAAAGAAGAAAATGAAAATAGAAATCAAATTCGAAAGAAAATGAGGTAATTTGTGGGTGGAAAAATCACAGCTTTGTAAAAGGTGTCCAAATGAAAAGACCCTGGTCCTGGGAGCTGAGGTAGAAGGGATGTGGGCAAAAGTGAAGGAATCATACAAAAGCACTTTCGGCTTAAAGTTCACGTATCACAATATTATTATTATTATTATTATTATTATTAGTAGTAGTAGTAGTAGTAGTAGTAGATGAGGGAAGGGAAGGAAAGAGAATTGATGATTGCGAATGAATGATGAAGAAAGAGGATTTTAATCTCTTTTCGGCCAATGATTGATGCTTTGGTAAAGTTTCGGCATGACTACTCCATCATTCCATTGATGCATTCCTTAGTTTGCAGCAGCACTTTTATTTGCTGTATTTGTTCAGATACGCATTCCTTCGCCATCCCTTCACCATCGCACATGCCGATTACAACATACTTAAGCTTCCCAACAGTTGAGCAGCAGCAAAAATGTGAACATTTGCATACAACCGGCGACTGTGTGTGTAGCGTTGTCGCCGGGAGACATGACAGTTACCAACGCCACTGGCTGAATGAGTACCGGTTATGGGGTCGGTTTTGTTTCGTCGACATTCCTAAGCACAGCGAAACTGATGCAACACTACAATGGCACTGACGTACGTACATGCACTGGGGCCAAGGTAACACGAGAACGGCCTTGTTTAATTGAATTGTGTCCGCCCTCTTGCAGTCGGTCATAAAAGTGGTAGAACGACGTATAATTCAATCAAGTCAGTGGCTCGAAGACGTGTGGAATGGGGCGAGACAAGGCAAAGCAGACAATCGTGTGAGCCTGTGAACTCGAGCCAGGAAAGCTGGCGAGTCGAGAGTTCACACGAGTTCTCACAGCATCTTGCACACCCACCGGCGCTTGTCTCGTCTCCAATGCGGCATCACATTCACGGCCACAAATACGATTATTTCGCGTACAGATTGCAGACGCCCGGCAACGTCTCGCCTCAAAGAGGAGGACAACCCTTTCGTGGGGTTGCCAGCGCGACAGGCATGCGGACACGACGAAGGATGAACAAATCCCATTTGTCCGTTTGCTCAACATGGGCCGGACATGCAGTGAGACGACCGTTTGTGTCCGGCACGAATGCCGCCGTGTAGTCATGCCGACAAAAAGGCATAATAGGTTGATGATATTATTAAGACGGGAGGCAATCGTCGTGACGTCAGCAGCTCAACAAGCAGACCAACGTGCACGGTGGAGCAACCAACAGCTTGCCCAATCCCCACTTAACAGGCCTGCATACAGAACCGCG